TTCCTTGTGCTTGTGTGTGTTGGCCCTCTACTGGGCACTATGTGTAGCCTGGGCGGATGCTGTGGTTAAGGCAAGGCTCCAGGTGAGGTGGGACAGGTGATTGAATGGAGGCAAACAGTTTTTTTTTACCGTGTCAGCCTGTCGGAGTTAAACGCATCCAACGCGGATTTGTTTGTTTTATTTATAGACAGTGGTTCGTCTTATTTTCCTTTATTTGATAAGAAGTGTTTAAAAAGAAATGGATTGAAATATCCAAATCAAATCATCAATGGACTGTGTTCATTTCTTCGAGCTAAGCACGCGTCAGAAAGCTTCCACATTCATCCCTCAAGTGACTTTTCTAAACAATATTGGGTTTGTTAAAATTGGTCACTGCACTACATTATTTTTTTACATTATTGTATTTTTTTTACATTATTGTATTTTTTTATTTAAATGATGTAAATATGTTTGATCTGTTTTTAACTTCTATTTTTATTTTTTATAAGTATATTCCCGTCCCTTGTTTTCTGGAGCTGCTGTAATGCACAAATTTCCCCCACGGGGATCAATAAAGTTTATCTTTATTTTTATCTTTATCTTTATCTTTATCTTTATCTTCCAAGAATAAGGTAAATACACAATAACTAATTACAGGGAAAGACTATTGTCTTCTCATTATTTAAAAAAAAAATAGTAAGGCTTTGTAGATCACAATCAAAAGGCTAGCAAAAGAAACCCTTTATTAAAAGGGAATCAAATACTTAGATTTCTTCATTCTACTTTTTTTTAATTTGTTTTCTCAGAATCAAGCCTGTTAACAAATAATGTGGTTCATTTTTTTGTAAATTCTGTATTAAGCTCAGGTTATTGAATGGTGAAACAACAGTCCGCTTGTTTGCAAAAATTGTGCCTAGGTTTATTTTCATAGTTGACAAAAAATGTGGAAAATAGTAAAAGCAGTCGAAAAAAAAGAAAAAACATACATTGTACAGAACATTTTCTATTTTAGGAATATTTTTCAGCCCTTGCTAACATGAAAAAAATATATATATGACAATCTGAATGAGGCCTTGGGCCAAAATCTGTTCTGATTCTTTTCTAAGTGTTAAAACTAATAACTAATGTACAAGAGAAATAGTTCAGAGGGACACCTGTAGTAAACCTGCATCTATGTTTGGAATAATCTGTACACTGGCATTGACTGGAAAAACACTTTGTTATTACCAAGGAAATATTTTGTGTCAATTAAGGGTCCAGAAGTGTCTTTGAAGATTCTGCACAAGTGCTATCCATCCATCTGCACTTCCTGCAAGAGAGTGTATGCTGTCCTCCAATGCTGCCCTCTTCTGGTAATCGTCTGAACTGAAGCTCTGAGGCTTCCATTGTAAAGGAGGAAAATAAAGGATATAGAATTACAGCGTTGCTGTGATTTTAAGCATATTCTTCAGAGCTCCAGCACCTTTCTGAAAACAGACTGCTCCCTTCTCCTAGGGCCCCTAATTAATCTCCTCCTCCTCCCCATAACCTGCCATGCCCGAGCTGTCCACCAGGTGTCCTCAAATACTTTCAACAGACTCTAGCCCTCACCTGCTCTCACTCCTCTCCTGTTGATTCCAGCTTTGTGCCTCATGAGGACACATAAATATCATCTATGTATTTTATAAATATTTGTATTAGTGTGAATGCTCGTGCATTGCACACTTCATGTTTTACAAAAAAACACTTCATGAAAACATGCACATGCTTTACAGGTTTTCTTTGAAACAATTATGACAACATATCAAGCAGTAACCTAACAAGCTAACAGTGAAGCTAACAGGAAGTGCAAAACAACTGCACTTCTTCAAGTGGCCACATGGGGCACAAAACAGCAACAAAACAAAAGAAGAGCTTTGGTCTTCAAAGCTTTCTTTATTCATGACAAGAAGGATGCATTGTGGTTAAACTCAAAATCAAAGCTACCAGTTATACATGATCTGGGGCGTAGTCGCTTTGATTGACAGATGAAGGCTGCTGGCTGTCTGCTGTGTCAACTAAGACCTAAGGGGCCAACAACAACAACCTACAAATGGACCCAATAAAGCACATAAAACACCTTAAAGTCAAAGTGATGGGATTTTTATGAGTCACAAAAAAGAATTTAAAAAAGTCAAAAAATTGAGCAGCAGCTGCCACTCCAAAACTCTTTGGGGCGGCAGTAGCTCAGTCTGTGGAGACTTGGTTTGGGAACCTGAAGGGTCGCTGGTTCAAGTCCTGGTGAAGACCAAAATATGGAAGCTGGAGAGGTGCCAGGTCAGGTCACTACCCGAGTACTGCCCTTGAGCAAGGCTTCAACAGCTCCGGCGTGCATCCTGCAAAGCAACGTGTAGGAGCGCTAAGCAACATTTAGCAAAGTTATAGTGGCAAGAAAACAGACAGAAACCTCGAAAAGGACCAGACTCATGTTGAACTCATACACTGTAAATATGAATATACGAAGCCTGAGTGATTTACCCATCTGTTCCTGCAGGGGGCGCTGGAATCCCACTGATGGCGGTCTCCATGCTGGAAATCACGTCTCAGCCTAACTTTCATTCAACCTAACGAGCTGAGGCGGATTTTAAGCCTCCTGACAAACCGTTGCACCGTGTCCGCTTGTCATTTAGGTCAGCTACGCTCCTTATTTTGAATAACGCTTATCCTTCATAAAATCAAAACAGCTGAGTTGTTAAAAAAAATCACCCCTCTTACAGTGTGTGCCGATCGAGACATGAGCTAACCAGACCTATTTAGTTATTTAAACCAGGTTGAAAACATGTTTATTTATACTGTAGCGTTTTTAAAATGGGGTGTGTGTGACTTCTGGTGCTTCTGCAGCCAGCCTCTAGTGGACACTTTTTTTTCCCACATTTTTCGACACCAGAGGTTTCTGCTTGGTTGAGGGGCCATCTGTCACAATGGTGTTGGGCTTGTAAAGTGAGATAGACAGACAGATGGAAAGAAAAAGACAGACAGAGACAAACAGAGTAGCAGCAACAACAACAGAAATGAATGAATGTTGTTTATGCTACGGGTAATACTTTGAAAACTTGTGTTGTCTGCACGGCAGTACTCTTTGTCAGAAAGTGGACTGCATTTCAACAGAGCTGATCTGGATCTGTTCTATTTATGGAAGCATTCTTCTTTCTCTGTTCACCAAAACAGGAGCTTATCTCACTTGTTCTGCAGGCTGGATTTAGATGCAGGCAGAACCAACAAACCAAATTGAAACAGTAACTGCAGGAGATATCTAGAGCAGATTTTAAACTTGGTATTCTGTTGACCCTTGTGGGAATGATTTAAGTCAACAGCAAAGTGATTTATTGTTTACATGCTCATATTGTCCTTGAAACGTGGAAACTACAGCTCAGGTTTCCATTGAAATGACTTTTGTCTGTTTAAAACAAATAGTAAATAAAAAAATGCTCTACTAAAAAACAGCATCATATAGTGAGCTCTGTTATGATCATCAACCTGTTGTGTTGCTGTTTGTCCAGTTGATGGCAGCATTCCAGTCTATAATGATTTACTGGAATTGAATCTTGACTTATTGAAGTTTGATCTGGAGGAAAGTGATACTGATATGATATGATGAGGAAGGTATTTAATGCTGATATGAAAAACAAACAAATTCAGCCATATCCTGATTTTTTGGAATTTTTAGTTAAAAAGATCCCAGCTCATCTTAGCTCACATTTATTCATATTACCCGGCCAGTGACAACCGAGGATCCATGTGCACATCATGAAGCTGCTTTATTCGTGGCAGTGTGTTCTTGTCTACTCGTTTATTGATACTTTGAATACGTCCAATTAACCACAGCATTAATATAAAGGCAGAATCTGTCATTATATGCCGTGGTTCCCAACCTTTAATGGATTGTGAGCTCAGTTTGACTTCACAAAGCTCTGGGGACCACAGACATCCAAAACACATAGAGCTTTTTGCTTGAGACCGGGGCAGACAGGCCGGGGTGAGATTGGTGCACAAAGGGGGATTTTATGTTTCTCAGTGTCTGATGTGTACAGCCAGGTGAGCTTGTATTTTACAATGCTGGATCGTTTTTAGCATGTGCTACAAGGAACTGGATACCGTCTTGTAGCTTAATTAAGGCATATTATTTATATATTTTATTTTGGTCAATAATTTGAAATTTCAGGGGACCCCATTTGGACTCCATGTGGTACCCCAAGATTGGGAAATCCTGCATTATCGAGTCGGACTCACTGAAAATGCAACTCAGATGGATTTCAGTTGGCAGGCTGTCCTGTGTGAAAACAGCTTAAGAGACATCCATAACCAGAGAGATCAAATAGTGCTGCAATCACATGAACATTTGGTGCTTTAGTGCGCTTATGAGTCGGTTTTAAAGAAAGTGAAGAGAACGAGGAAGTGTGATGAATGCTTTGAATGGTCGTGAATAAATCAGATCTTGTGTGGCGATAAGCTGCTCTGTCATCAGATGAACATATAAGGGAAGAAGATGAAAATGGAAACGGGCCAAAACAAGACAACATGCCACCAACCGAGAGAGGAGCGGTGCGAAGTAGAATATCAGAGAGTGTGCAGATGTTTTCACACGGGGCTCCCTGACGAACATCAGGGAGTAAGAACAAGACAAGTGAGGATCTAGAGGGGACGAAACGACGTCAGTAAGTGCAAACAAACAGCTTTAAGCACCCACCTGGGGGAGGGGTTACTGCCCTTTGTGATGTCATGAAGGGAAAATCTCCAAAACGGCCTGTTTGAGCACACATTTTCTGAAAAGTGGAGCAGGCAAAAGACTTAGAGGATGGACTTTTCTCATAACTGGGGGGTGGTTTGTAGACGGCCTAGAGACACATTAGTGTTTAATTGTATTTTGGATAATGTGTGACCTTTAATACATCGTCATCAACAACTACATCGACAGCTGCACCACTTTTGCCTGAATGTATTTTTTATTTTCATTAAACAAGAGCTATCCTTCATGACACACAACATGAAACTTTATCACAGGGTTGTTTTATGTTTTTTTTATTTAGACTTTGTTTTATTACCATACAATCACAATTCACAGTTTGTACAAGGTGCTAGTGCTAAAAAACACGATAAAAAATAATTAAGAGTATACAGTTCATTTTACAAACACATACATGTATATAAACCTAATGTTCACGACACACAGAATCTGAATGACTGACAGTAGTTTAAGGACGTTTGTCGTTGATTTCATAAACTCATCTATGTTACATTTATTGTGGCACTGCTTTTTCTCCAACCAGGTCAATGATTAACTGTGTGTTACAGAACAGTTAATCATTCACATATATGGATGTTGATAAGGAGTTTTGTTTTCCACTTTTGGCTTGTCTTCAGTACAGTAGAGAATATTTGGTCTGACAGGCTCGAGCTTGACATGCAGGCTCGATCAGAATTCAAGATTTTAAAGGCATGCGAGGCGGTTTCTCTGAGAGACGACAAAGGATGAAACAGAAGAAGGAAGTAGGAAAAAAAAATCTCAGACTGAGAAGATAACAGCTGATGTGGAGATAAAGTTGCACTCGGTTGTGAAAAAACTTCCATAAACAAAACCTCACAAAAGACAGTTACAGGAACATAAGGCCTGTGTGCTTCACTTTTTCAGTGGTGAGAAAAAGGATATGAGATCCTGCAGGGGGCCGGAACTTAAAAAGACTGGCCACATCATTTGTCTCTAGGCAGAACATTTACTCAAATGTTCCTCGGGCCAGGCCTACACTGTGCCAAGTGAGGCCGATTCTGACACGACTTTTGAGTGGCACGATTGACTTAGAAGTGCGGCAAATTTCTCATTTGTACGGGGGAGAGGGGGGGGCACGAGGGCCTATCACAGCCTGCTCTGTTGCCTCCGACCAGTTTGATGGATGTCTGGCATTACTGAAATGTTTGTCTTATGACTACATACTCTCACACAGTGAATGAAATTCCCAGACTTTTTTGTTCTCCTGATTGCGCCTGCGCAGACTGGCAGAGAGTGTCTGAAAGCACCATGGCAACAGCAAGCACGCCTGTTTTTATGCCTCTAACCCCTCCTAGCACAACATATATGAATAAAAGAAACGTTGGCAGGAAATAGCTGCCGACCTCCAGCTGCCGGGGAACACAGCGTTTTGTGTTTGAGCCGTGCATATGAGACACAGTGTGAGCACACAGGTGGTGATTTATAATCAGACCGTTGAGTGTGAGCACTTACAGTGTGAGCTGACATCCTTGCACAACATTCATACCACAGTACAGAGCACTTAAATCATAAAAAATGTTCCTAACGAGCATCTTGGCAGGATAAACTTATTCTGTATTTAATCCATTTTTCTGCAAATCCTATGACAAGATGAAAAACAAAAAAAAGATCAGCTTACAAGTAACACGCTGCATTTAAAGCTGCATATTCCTCCCTTTCTGCTCCATAGACTTTTATTGTTGCTCAAGCAGCTGCCCCCCCTCTTCACCCTTTATTTTGTCTGCTCTGGACTTTTGAAAGTTGATGCTCAGGTGAATCCCCACACAGTCTTTGATTCAGTGATGGCTGAAGAGGAGACTCAGTCTGCTTTGGGGGTTTTATTATTTACAGAGAGGACAGTCAGAAATCAGGGAGGGAGATGGAGAGAGAGTGGGGAAAGACAGGCGGGAAAGTAGCCACTGGTTGGACTCAAACCCAGGTCGCCCACTTGAAGGACTTAAGCATCCGTACATGGGGCATGCAAGCTAACTACTAGGCTACCAGCGCCCCGTAGTGGCTACTTTAAAGGCATTTATGGCAATAAGAAAATATAACATACTTTCAATTGGACTACTGTAGTCAGTTGCATTTCCTTAAAATACACACACACACAAATTAAAATTATTTCATGATTCTAACCCTTCACTAAAGACATGGAATGTGAAGAGGGAGTAAGAAGGAGGCTGAATCATCACATTATACACGTTTGTCCTCCATAAATCAACATCAGAGACTCCGTGGTGTCGGAACGGTTCCCAATGTGGTTACTTTAAGACAACAGAGACTGACCTGGACCCCTTTTACTCCTGTTGTCAGCGATATATGAGTCTTTGTTGACATTTTAAACTTGATTGGAGCTTGTTTACTTGGTAGATTAAAGGTGAACAAAGCGCTTACAGTTTCTTTTAAATCACAGTGATACAAGCTTTACCTGGTTATGTACATGGATGTTTGCATTAGGAAAAGTTAAAATGCTGACGCGGGCTCAAGCAAACAAGAAGTGTTGATTTCAGTGGTCGTCTGTGAGAGTGGTCTTGGTTTCTCCTGCACAGAGAGATGAAGAGAAAAAGAAAGGAAGAGGGAGGGTTAGTAACAAACTTATTACCTTGTTTGGTTGTTTGAATTTGCAACAGTTTTTGATGCCACTTGTTTTAAAATAAGACAATCTGAGAATCCTTAATGATGCATTGTATCAAAAAGTATTGAAGCTTTAATAAAAACTAAAGACCTTCAGTCATAAGCTGTTTTCACATCTGCCTGAAAATCTATATGCACGGTGCAGCAGTCACAGTATATAAACGTCACTCCCCCCCTCCTATTGGCTTGAGCTGAATTCTCCTGATTATATCCTGCTGCGTTTTCACATCAGCTCGCTCTGGCAGGTGGCAAGTGTTGAAGCCCTAATATTTTGAACACAAAGCTGCAATGGCTCATTCAAATTCACACTCGTGTGTCATGAAGATGTGATGATTTTTTATGTCTAACAAACAGACAGCAGAAGTGGTGACTGTCTAAATTGCACAAACACATTGCTGCCAATGTATTATGTGCAATTTCAGACAATGTGCAGGAGTTTGCTTGTACATTTTTGTCAATAAAAAATGGAAATTCAACCAAAATTGTGCACTTGGGGCTAGGTATCGAAACTGTTTTTTTTTTCTTACTAGAATTATATTGACGTTTAAAAAGTGACAATCCAACTCAAATGTTTGAATTATATTTACCTGTAGTCAGACTTTCTCTGAAGACATCTCCCTCCATTTCCTGATCATCTCCTGAAAAACAGATGAAATGTCAGAGTGTGAATGAAGATTAAATCGTGACTTTAAACACAAAGACGTTCTCGAGACTCACCTTCCTCCATGTCTATCACGACTTGATGGTCACCTGGAAAAAAAACCAATATATAATTATGGAGGAGGAAAAACGGGCTGTAAAAACAACACCATGTAAAGCGAGCAAAAGCAAACCCTAAGAGTCCGAAACATGAGTCAGATCATTACATGGTTCAAAGAGTGATGATTAACAGCCAAGCCCTTTTTCCACAAACCATGGGCAAACAAAAAAACAAGACATATGTCCAATTTAATGACATCACCCTACACCGCAGAACAACTCATAAATCAGACACTAAAGGGAGCCCATCAAACACCTAGAGCCAGTTAGAACACCGATGGTTGTTATGTGACAGAAGTTATCAACAGTTGAAAACACGGCAGGAGGACATGCATGGACAGGCCTCGGAATGACATGTGAAACCTGTTTGTGGTGAGTTATTTGGTTACATGATGTTTCAGAAGATGTACCCCAGGAGGCCCCACATTGCCTCGTTGAATTAGAAGAAAAAAAAAACTCAAACTCAAACTCAAACTGCCTCAGGTTGTTAAGACTCTTCAAACAGGTCAAGCTGCAGTTTGCATCCGCCCATGACGGTGAAATGGAAGCCTGGCAGTAGGGCTATGTGGAACGTGTTTAAAGTACTGTACAATCAGGAATATAAGTCGCACTGGTATTAAAGACACAGTCTGAGGTTTAAAATGTCTACCTGACAGACAGACTACGGACACAAATTTGAGTCTGACACCTACCCCCCCTCCCCCGGGTGATTTTTCTTGCAATCCAAATAAAGATAAAGAAGTAATCAATCCTTATCCTCATTTGTTTTGTTTTTGTAGCTCATTCAGAAGCAGCCGTGTTCATTTCAGTCTGTTTCCTCAGCAGCTGAAAACTCCTCACAGGAGCTTTAAAGTTAACACATTAATTTACATTAATTCATTTCTTAATCCGACAGCAGATGTGGGGCCGATCAGAAGTTATTCAGGAAGCCTTCACTGTTAAATGGAAGAATCAGAAGATAGAAAGATGTTTAAACCTCCACAGACACATGGATTTCAGCCCTCTATATTGAGTTTGAAAAGAGTGAAGCAATAGTTTGTTTAAACATTGACCCACTCATAAGGGGTGTTGTAGACTGCCTCCGGACCTCTGTCAAGAAAAGGAACACAGAAGGGAAAATAAAAGTGAACGCTCCCTCACTGCAAACATCTACTTCAGTTGACCGCCGTTTTTTTAAAACAAAGCTCATGTCCTCACTCTATTGTTAAAAACAAACATCACATTTATAGTAAATACACTAATGAACCCAACCCGACAACAAAGGAGAGCGTACTTTCCCAGCGTGCATAACATGGCTGCATGCCAAGTGCCGATCAGGTTTGTCCACCTTTAAAAGTCCCCGTGTTATCCATTGTCAGGAGTATTTATTTCCTTTTGGCTCAGACAGGAAACTAAGGGCACACTCACACTAGGCAAGCACGTTTGACCACAAAGTCCAGTTCGCTTTGGTCAAAATATAACATGAATCAACCACCAGAGGAGGTTTGTGACCCTGTATAAACCAGCTCTCTCAGAACGCTCCGTTTTGGTGTGTGTGTCTCTTTAAATGTAATGACCCCCCCTGAGTTTTCCCCGTAGACATAACTCCCCTGTAGCGAGAATAAAAATGGTTGACCTGCTCAAAAGTTTTGTTTTAGGCTGGGGGTGGAGTCCATGGGTGGAGATACCAGGGGAGGGGAGGGGATTTTTTTTTACCAGAATCCCACTGTGACATCACAACTTTAAAAAAGGCATTTTCCTCTGTGTTGTAAGACTTATGCAGCCCACAAATAAAGGACTGGATGGGTTTATTTCACATTTTGTGGGTCAGTAGACACTCAGGTTACCCAAATATATGTTCAAAAACACTGTACAAGTGGACTTTTCATAACACAATGTCCCTTTAAGATCTTACAACAATGCATTTGCAAAGTCCAGGATGCAGGACAGCATCCAACATCCTCCTCTGGTGCAAAATGACATAGGTTTCAATATATTAATACCATTTTGAATTTCAAGAGATTTAAAGTTAAGATGGCTAAATGTTAAATAAACAAGAATGCATTTTCAATGGTCAGTTTTTGGATTCAAGCTGCCATGTTAAATATACAGATATATATTTAATGGTACTCACGCTGAGATCGTCTTTTGTAAAGTAGCAACAGTAGCAACCCACGATCAGAGACCCGACGACCAACACAGGAGCCCCTATCTTGGTGGCCAAAATCATGTTTGAGTCTTTGGAGCCTTTGGTGCCTTCGGCGCCTTGTCCATGCCCTGATTAAATCAAATAGAAGAAAATAAAAAGTTACAGATGTAATACTTCACATGGATATAAGATAGAACATAGAAGAAGATATTTGGAGTGGTGGGAAATTCCCCCTGTGATACTTTTAGCTGCAAACATTCACTTTCTCTTTCTCTCTAGAGGGGGGAAGGGGGGGTCTGAGTTAATGATCTGCCCTCTCAGACAAAGTAGAAAGTAAAGACAACGACTGGAGGGGATTTTGGTGTTGCAAACGCGCGACTGTCGACTGCAAAACAGATATTAATCAGCTGATGATAAGTGACCGTTTACTGCATTCAGCAGATGTGGGGACTTGTAACAGCTCGGCTAAGGTCACTGCACAGATATCAACGAACCAGTTCATGAGTTTTCCCGTCAAAGAGTATGAACAATGGATCAAAACTTTCATGAAAACAAGAAGCTTGACCCCCCCATGGTTTAGAGAAAGTACTGGGTCACACTCGGAGACTTATTGATGTCTTACAAGATGGAAGGAAACAAAACTGAAGCAACGTGGGAGGGAAAGTTGCTCCGACTTGTCTGAAATGTTTTTTTAAGGAAGCTTCAGCCTCTTTGTGGTTTAATGTTTACAAGTTCAGTCTGAGCTGCCAAGATTTTCTTTTCCCCTGCATAATGAAAACACTCCTGGGGATATTTTGCTCTTTGGACTCAGCTCTCATGGTTAAAATAACAGTTAGTGTTCAAATCAAGGGTGCTGCCAAATAAGCCCTAAGGTTCACCCAGGTTCTTCATATTCTAGAAACAAACAAACACCTGCAAATCCGATTTGATAACGCTGAATATTCACCCTTCTTTAACATCTTGATTTATAGAAATATGTCGTATTTCAGGAACGTCTTTATTCAGCTTCTGGCAGCCTGATTCTGTGTTTTGAGTTTGTGTCAGACTCACACAGTTTCCATCTTCGACATCGTCGCCTACAAACAGGGGCGTGTCTAAAAAGGGTTGGCGTGGGCCCCTCCTTGAAATCTGATTGGTGCCAATCCCAAAATAACCTAAATATTATTGGCTAATTGATTTGCCAAGGGCGTACTATTTGAACTGATTTACATCAGGCTGCTAGTAACTTTCTTCGCGGGCCGATTTGTCTCGTTTCCTCTTGTTAGTTCTTCAAACCGCAACTTTAGACTTAATTCTCTTTTTTGAGTCCTTAAAAAAATTTGAATGTTTCCTCTCTGTTGCGATATATATTTTACAGATTACTTACTATGAGCCACCCCTGCATAAGTCTGTTCTCCTGTTGGGACACCCAATTCGAAAAACTCTGGACGAGCCCCTTCCAACAAAGCTTTATGTTGATAACTCGATGGTATCTTTACGGCACGTTTCTCATCCTGTGTGTGTGGACTACATCATTTCCTGGAGGAGTGAGCCATCTCTCATGCTTACTATCTTTGCTCAGAGTTGTGTATGCAAAACAGCGCCCGTGAAGCGAAGGTTAAACAAACACAGCATAATGGCGATGCAACAACATCGGAGCATTTCACCATCAACACTGCAAAGAAAGGATTTCCTGCCAGATTTGTAAAGCAGAACTTTCTTAACACGGGAGCACGTTGGTAACGTTTGAGCATTTGAAGAAAAGGCCATGATGAATGGCTCATCTTTGACCTTCACCTTAACCGTCCATGCTTTGACTTTTCTCTCATTTCCATTTCCAATCCCTCGCCTTAAAACCTCTTCATCATCTTCTCTCCTTTGCTTTTGTTTCTTCCTCTGCCTCGGCCACTAAACAACGGAGCAGACTCTTATTATTACTCTTATATATATTATATAAAACATATTACTATAGTAACCACGCTACACACTGTCTATTCACTATATTCCTTTAAAGCCAACCCCCCCCAAAAATATGGCTTGAATTCAGATTTTTGATGTCACATTTTTAGTTTTATCATATTGTTAAAATTCACAAGCTGATAACTAAATAAGGGCCTTTAAGTAATTGTGCAAAAACATGATAAATTCATCGATTCATCGCTTCTAAATGGATGAGAATTCAACTATCAAAGAGTTGGTAGTTGCAGCCTTAGTGAGCACAGCAAAGTCTGGACTGTTCAGTGTTTGTGCTGACGGGTGAGATAAGGCCGGGCCGGCTACCTGAATGAATAAATCAAAAAAAGGGAACCTACAAGTCACCATCATGTCTTCAGTTACAAGATTTTGATTGCTAGGCCTCAATCATTTCCTCAGATCAATTCTATGTCCATATTGTACTTCTGATAAATCCTCCTGGCATTCCTCCCTCTATGACGGCCCCCTGGGTTCAAGTTCCTCTTAGTTGAGCAATCCTAAAAGAAGACCTGATTGCGTAACGGCATTGACGTCGGGTGTTGCTTCAAAAAAATGTTTTGCATGACATAACATGTGACTGTAGCTAAAAGAAATCTGACAAAAAGTACCGGTTGCTGTGTGAAGAAGGAAACGAGTATCATGTGTGGTGCTCGACAACGGATACCTCCAACCGATGGTTTGTCCGGCACTGTGAAAGATTCCTCCGCCTCTTCGTCTCCTCTGGCGTTGAACACTTTGCAGGTGTAGTTGGAGAAGGCGGATCCTCGCTGTATTTTCAGCGTGCTTGAGAGGATAAACAGACCATTCTCTGTCTTCAGCACCTCCACCTCGGGTTGGTCTAACCAAGGCTTGTTGTCTTTATCAAACCAGCTGAGTCGGCCTTTTGGGTAGCCGGTGGACTTGCATGTCAGGGAACCGTCGGTGTTGAGATCAATGTCCTGAGGTTGAGGCTGAATAGTTGGCACTCCGTATTTGGCTTGAAGGAGAACATGGAGATGAAACATGATTATTAATCTGAACTTCAACCCTCGACATCAATCATCACACTATTATTTTACCACTGATATTTGATGTGTGATAAGCAAATGTACTTAATGAAAGCAGACATCTTATTGTCATAAAGAAACAGAAAGTAGCAAAGACACCGAGCAAACATTGAACAGTCTCTGTTGAAGGTAAATACCAGACTGATGGGGAAGGAAAGTCCCCCGTTCTCCACACAATCTACATTCCATCTAGCTCACTTTTACATCTTTCCTGCAGTCCATCTTCTGTCTTTAATCTTATAAATGTTTACACAAACAGACAGAAAAATGAGCTCTCAGGGGCTGCTTCAGAGATAAATCATTCCCTCAAAATGATGTGTGTGTGTGTGTGTGTGTGTGTGTGTGTGTGTGTGTGTGTGTGTGTGCCAAAGAAGCTGAGACAAGTTTTTATCTTAGAGCTCACCTGTGACGCTCAGTCTGGTGTGGTTGATGTTAAAACCACTGTTTGTGAACACATAACATGTATAAACTCCCTCGTCCTTAACAGCAGTTTTGTTAATGAGCAGGGATACGTTCACGTTCTTGTTGTTCCAGGACGGTTCAGCAAATGAATATCCAGGCAACGATGTTAGTTTTCCATTTTCGTATTTAAGTACGGGTTCTTCAACCCCCTCTCTACTCCAAATTACCACCACGATTTCAGGATCGTCGTCTACGTCTCCTTCAGAGTAGTGGATTACACAGTCAAGTCGTGACTCCTGCTCATACTGTCCGATGTTTTGAGTCTTGCAGTGAATTTTCACAAAGGCTGTGAAGAAAGAATCACATGAATACCAAGAAGAATCAAATATTTCAAACTCTGATATGACGGAGGAACTTACCATTACTCTGTGAACTTCCTGCACTGATCAAGATGACAGCCAGCATTAAGGGCAGTAAACCAGCGAAGGCCATGTTCCTTTTTTACCTGAAACAAAAGTTAAATAAATGAATGCTAAACGCAGGAATGAATTCAATCGTAACAAACCAACATGTTCTCAGTCATGTGGGATCTGTTCTGCAAACGCAGGATGTCAAGGAGAATAACGTTCCCCATGCAAACACACAAAAGGTACTTTAGGTGTTTCTCCACCTCCTCACTGTACGCGCCCAGTCTGCAGCGGCTTCTCCCAGTGCTCCCACCCTGTGCTCGGGAGGTGATCTGGCACCTCTCCAGCTACCAGATTTGGTCCGCACTGGGATGTGAGCCGGCGACCCTCCAGTTCCCAACCCAAGTCCCTACAGACTGAGCTACTGCCGCCTGCCCCCCCCCATAAAGTGATATAAATACCAGTCCTGAATCAAGTGAACTACACTCTCAACGAGACCTGAATTAGCATATGAGCAAAGAAGAGCAAATACTCCAGCATGAAGATGAGCGGGGGCGCGTTCAAAACAAGTGGGAAATAGTTTCTCTGAAAGAAAGACTTGAGATTCGACCTTTCATGCAGCAGACAGAAACTTCAATCTCAACCTTTAAAGGAAGCGATACTTTCTTTAAAACGAGATGCAGTTATGCACCCGTGACTGCTTAGTTTGACTTTTAAACAAACACAGGAGCACGTGTTAGTGAACTTTCGTCCAAGGAGGTCAGATTTCTGGACCCTCCGTCAACATCGCTTTTATGATTCTCGTAATCTGATCTCAATATCTAAGTCTCTGTTTCCACTTTTTGTTTTGCAATTTTGTGACTGAGCCGCATCATGCCATCAGCCATCTGGGGGGGGGGGGGGTGTGTGTGTGCAAGAGGCTGCATGAGAAAAAGTCCTGAATGTTATCTGATGTGGTGTTATCTATTACCTCACTATCATTATTATTAGTACTGTGTTGTTGACCTGAGTGCTGAGTGTTACGTCTATTGCATTTCTTTTCATGACCGCTTACAGCTGTTATAAATTTTTCCACGCAGTCACACATTTCGTAATCAGGTTGATTTCATCAGAAGCCGTTTAACAGGAATTCACATGGAAGGAATTAGTCAAGTCAAAGTCAAAGTAACCAGTAGTACGCTCTGTGGAGTCCCGATCGGCTCAAGATGTTCCTTCACACGTCTCTTCCTTAACGGGCCAAAAGATGGATGAGTGTGTGTCGTCCCACTTCTCAACTTCTTTTCTCCCGTGACCACAACAGAGCTGGAGGTCGAAAAGGAAGAGGGGTCTCCAGAGAATGCTCGTTCTCTTTCTGTGTTTATTTTCATGGGGGATAAATCTTCTCCAGTCATGAAGCTTATTATAGCTTGAGCTGAGTTTGCAATGCTTGTCCTTAGAAGGGATGGGACAAGCTTTGTAAACTTGGAATTTACATAGCAGAATACAAAAGGATATATAATAGTTAGTGAAGCCGTGTGCTCTTCTTTCTTTGGATTATGTTTATGGTCAGATCAAATGTGTAAACTAAACTTCTAAAATAATAATTCCCTGCTGATCGGGGATGTAACGATACCTCGTGATACCATTCAAAACTGATACAAATATGGACAATTTAAATCAACGAGATTAAAAAATATTGCAATACTCCTTTTCTAGCCAGCAGAGGGTGCTGTCCGCGTTCGGCTTGGCATATTTGATGTCAGTAGCTGAAGAAGATAGGCGTACAGACATCGGCAGAAGCGGGGAAAAGATTTTGCGGAGGTGAAATCACAGTCTGGATTCAAAGCAGGGGGGTAAGAAGTAGGACTGGCCGATTAAAAACGATTGTGAAATGATGCTCCTCTGTTTAAGTGTAGTTTCACAAGTTCTGACAATGAAGGTTAACCACAATTAACCGTGTGGTTTCTTCAACCTCCACTCCTGAGCAAATACTATTCCAGACGTCGGACAAAGTTTTCCTCCCTGCACACAGACGACAAACTCAGCACTAAATTCTTTTAACCTGAGAATAGAATCCCGGTGTGGACCAAATCTGGAAATTGGTCTGGTAGCTGGAGAGGTGCCTGAACACTGAGTAAGGCACCGAACCCCCAACTAAGAAGCGCTCGCAGTGGGTGGTTGCCCATTGCTCCCATTAAGTGCATGTCCATAGGATCCTGATTGGTTATGCATTTGAATTTCCCCTTCATAAATTTTCCCTGGATTTATGAAGTTTATCCTAATATCTTGTACAACAGATGAAATGATAATTGATGGTAGACAATCATATCTTCATGACCTACTTAGAGGTCAGGTTTTGTGTGTGCGTCAACAACTCAACAACAAGAAACATCATCAACTAATCCCTCTCCACGTGTGTGGGAGGAGGTTTGGAATTGTAGTTCCAAGAATGTTAAGCTGTCCGTTTGCCTCAGCTAAGGTCACATTGTTTCCACAAATCTGTCACAGGTGAAAAGTTTTAACTTTATAAACTGGTTTGACCGGCCACGCTCTGACCGTTAAAATGTGTTTACTTCTCACTGCACATTAGCAGGCTCATACTGAAAGAGAAAGTCAACATCACATGTGAAGAGTGAAACGGTTGCCAAGTATAAAACAATATCTTGCATCCTGCAGAGGAACAATACGTGACCTATGCTTTGGTGAATGTTCTGAGGATTATCTTGTTTAGACACTTGTTTGATCTCTTATCTCTGCTCTCAGTGGTAAATGGTTAATGGACTTGAGCTTGTATATTTATTTTCTAGTCTTCTGACTACTCAAAGCACTTTTACACCGCAGGTCACACCTACACATTCACACACTGATGGTAGATGCTGCTATGTGAAGTGACCATCAGAAGTAACTAACCCATGCATAAACCGCTGACAAACCAGCAGGATCAACTTGGGGTTAAGTGTCTTGAGACATCAGACATGTTGCTGTGGAGCTCAGAATCAATCCCCCAATCTTGCTCCGACGACCTACTCTATCAACTGAGCCACAGCCGCCCCCTTGCTTCCCAGCCTTTAATACTGTAATCCCTTGTATTTCACTTGTATCTCAAGTGGCACCAGGACCCAGAGCCCAGGATTGATTTAATTAGAACCATAAGAGTGGCTGACTAAAGAGCCAAATATTTTTGAGTGAGGAAACTTTTTTTCCCAGTTTTTTTTTTATCTCCGGACCTTAGAATAAACTATCCAGTAAATATGTTATCATGATTTTAGTTCATAAATCTAACAACCTCAGAACAGAAGGAGCCTTGCACAAGGATCCGACCGATATGCAATTTATGAGGCTGATACCGATACTGATATCAGGGAGACAAACGATATATCGACCGATATCTTTCTTAGATTTATCTTCCATCTTAAGAGACATCTAGATATCTATATACAAACACATTTGTTGGGTTCGTCCCTAAAATCTGTGTGTCAAATACTTTGGACTCCACTCAAACCTGTTGTCTCCCAAACCTCGCCCTGAATCTGCTCATGACACGACATATATTTGATCACCAGGGCGTGAAGTGTGTATTTGGAAAATTCCCTAAATGTGACTCGACAGGCATGACCATCGTACAAGTACTGAGCGTATTCCCAGTGCGGGCATTGTAAGTGCTGCAGCTGTGTGGTGGCGGGTTCCTGTCTGAATCAGAATGCGAAACATCTGCACTCCCTGAAGAACCACACCAAGATTTAAAAAAAAAAGAAATGTATCCGGATTCTAAGAGGCTGAACGTAATGCAGAGCACGACCTTGGCTCACTGCAGGACGAGTCCCAGCAGCTGGCGCCTAACATGTCATGTTAACTTCAGTAGTGTCATCAGAGAGGTTTTCTATCCTGATTATTTTTTATTATTTTCATGTAAGAGGCCGTTAAACTCTGTCAGTGCACTTCCTTTCTGCACACTATCTGTGTGTGAATTCCTGATAGCCGCTCTGTAACGACAGCTTTTTAAACTAAACAAGATGAGGAAACTCTGCAGAAGGAAAATGTTGAAAGTTGACTCTGTAGCTCGGCCACTGCTTGCATTTCACAGTTTAAATTAGGGCCTGACCGATATGAGATTTGGGGCCGATATATCTATAAAAAGAAAAATCTGATATATCGGCCGATATCTCCCTTAGATCTATCGACGATCTGTAGATAAACACGTTTATTTTAGTTGATCCCTCAAAAGCAGTTTTCAAAAACTTGTGGAAAAGACAGTCACCAAACTGGAGAGTAACTGAGCATGCACGGGCATCACCGCTCGACACTCTGGAGGGTGATCATCTTTGTTGTAATCCATAAACGGCCTCTAGTGGTGACAGCCAGAAATGCAATTTGACTTGTGAATAAATCTATTACCTATATCTATAGTTTTGAAGCAAACACCATTAAGTGGCCTTTTCCCTTTTGCTTTTGCTTTTCCTTTGACATTTGTCGAGTTATTTGTTTAAGGAGTGGAGTAAGGAGAGGACTGGTTTTATTCTATCATGGCTTCAACAAGAATGGATTCTGGATTTACAGACAGTTTTTACTACACTACCTGGTGTGTGCACAGCTGCCTTTCATTTGAGAAAGTTCTAGACAAACATCATATAAAAGCTTTTCCTCTATTTTTTCTAAGGTATGAACCAAAAAGCAAACATGTTTGCTCCCTCAAAAATATCAGGTCACAAAAAAAAAAAACTAGATTCAACGTCTGGTCTGGGAACCACGGATGCCTTGGATGGATTGCACAATCAGAGGTTGGCTTCTTGCAAGGCACTTTGAGCCAGCCCCTTACTTGGACCAACAGTTGGCTTTCTTTATCGGGACATCCTGACTCTGACTCTGACTCTGTGACCTATTTCAGGAACACACTGGTTGTGTTGATGAGCGTCATCTTTCCTCTTTTTATTAGTGGTTAAGTCCGTGCTTAGTTCATAAAATCATATACCAGACAGTCATAAGACATCGTAAACCTGGTCGGAGAAGCACGTTTACACCTGAGCCTGAGCACAAACACGTCAACATGCTGAGTGAGTGGAAAAGACGAGCCAACACAGTAGATTGTGTAAATAAGAGGCCATGATCACAAAGCATACTAGTGAAACTGCACAGTGTTGTAGTGGTGCCTGAAGATTCATTTTGTCCCCAAAATGTTTCTTTTAAGTGTCCTGTCCACCAAAGGATAAATGGACTTGTATATTTAGAGACAGAGCCAATTAGATCCCTTAATTGCAGCATTGGACAACTATTAAATATTGTCAATAAATAAATGGTTTGAATCAAAGGAGATTCAGAAGTGGGTATACTGTATGGAGACTGAAAAATAAGTGGGAATACGCCGTGCGTCTCCCTGCACCACACCTCGTGTACAGCTGTGAAACACCGCCGGTGAACAGAGATTCATGATTCCCCGTGAGGAGCGTGGACGGACGAATACAACTCACAGTCACACATCGAGCTTCTACTGCCACTACGATAACATTAACATTAATGAAGTCAACATTAAACACAGTAAACAGTCGTTAAATCACGCACGTTTTAGATGAATTAACATGCAGTACATGTTCGTTTACGTCGGCCACCTCACCTGCATGTGACGCAACACTTAACCTACATATCTACCTGTACGTGACTCAGGAGGATACATTAGTGATACACTCACCGGGCACGCTCCTCCACGTGGACACCACGACTTCTCCGGGTGGATGGAAAAGTAGAAATGAAATCTTAACTCATCAACCGCCTCTGTTCACCCGAGCCTCTGGAATACTTTCACTTTCATTATGACTGAAGAGGCGTGTCTGACACAGGCCAAGAGTGGATCAACAAAGAACAGATTTTAAACACTGATAAAGTGTGACTTCTCTTTAGTCTATCATCCACCGTTTAAATAGTTAAAGAATAACTTTTTATTAAACCCCAGAAAAGAACTGTTAAATAAATAAATAAATAAAAATAAATAATAATAATAAAAATAAAAATAATATAAAAATAAATAAATAAAAACAAACAAAATAATAATAATAATAATAATAATAAATAATACAATTAATTAAATAAAGCACGTTACTATGAATCTACTAATCCATCAATCATGAGGTCTTGCACACTCACATTGTCGGATATTGTTTGTATAAAACTTTAAGAGACACAGACGTGCCCAACATTCAGGATCTCGTGCACAATATAATTACCTTCAAATGACCTTGTGGTCACCAGATAATTGTCATTTTATAATTATCATCATTCCATTGAGCACATTGATTATTAACTTGGTAATTATCTGGGAATACAAAGATAATTATGTTGTCTGCAGACTACTCTTGATGCTTTGACACTGCAGAGGCACACCTACACACTCACACCCAGCTGGCAGAGGCTGCTGTGGATCACTAATCCTATTCACACCCATCGACAAAGCAGCCGGAGCAATTTAGGAGGTTAAATGTCTTACCCGAGGACACAGCAAACATGTGTCTGCAGGAGCTGGAGATCAAACCCTCGACCTTCCAGGTGAGACGACCGACTCTTCCAACTTGAGCCACATGGACCATAATGCAATCACAGAAGTCAAATTTTCAAACATAATCATTTGTTTTCAGACACACAAAAAAAAATGAAAATCTATCATCAAGCGCATTTTCACCAATCCAGCGTTGAAATTTCCGAGCTTCAAAATGGGCATTAAATGTGTCCCACCTACAAGGAGGAGCAGCAGTTCCCTCAAGAAGGAAAAGAAATGTTTTTGAATGTGACACTTTATAAGTCATGATGCATGCAGTTTGTATTTTATGACATGCAGACGCAGCTGTAATCATGGAGGAGATAAGATTCAGAGTAACAAATGTCATGTGAACATCCTCCAGGAACTCATCTTTAATCGTGGTTGGTGTTCACATTTCTGTTGTGTTTCACTCCTAGAACAGTAAAGGTGAACATGTAAAAAAAAAAAAACACACAGCGAAACACAAGCCATGGTCAAAAATGATTTTTAATGTTCATTTCCACTTGTGCCGTTTCTTAACTTCAAATTTCTTCAGTGACTTGACTACATCCAGCAACAGGAAATTGGTAGAGGATGCAAACAGCAATGCCTGGCATCACAACACATATTCAAAGTATAAACCACAGAAGTTACATTTCATGGACATGAAATGCAGGTTTAGTCGCATGACGGCCGTCTGACACAGCAGTCACACACACTCTCACACACACACACACACACACACACACACACACTCTCACACACACGCACACACACGTGACTCAACAAGGACAGGTGCAGGAGGGAGTTTGAATTTTGGTTTAAATAATGCATGAAATGTACGTAAACAACTGTTGTACATGTCCAGAAGAGCAGGAGCGGGAACAAATGCATAAGGTGGGTAACGAATATATAAAAAAAAAAAAAAAAAAAGGCTGAGCTGTCATAAGGTCACTTGTCAAATCTCGGATGGGTTTACTAGTAACACTGGAGTATCAGGACCAACGAGAATCCATTGAGCCTGGGTGATACTGTGAGGATGCAACTGTGGAAACCCAACCTCGTTTGATGTTGTAGCCTAACACACAAACAGGCACACTTTTATTTCAGAGATAATTCGACCTATAAAAAACACTCTGGCACCGGGGGGGTTACGATAAATCTATTTAGTGACTACGATATACAAAAAAAAGGCTTATTCTATTCCAAATCGAGTTCCCTGACATGGGAATCTACATCTGAAGACGGATTGTTTGATCCAAAATGACTGAATTTATGTGCCCCCCCCCCCCCCCTCCATGTGGACTATATTATTCTAATGGGTAGAAAGTTTCTTCCGATTACGTCATGCAACAACAATACAACAATTATTCCACTTAAAAAAACGACTTAACAAAAAAACAGTTTCAACTTAGAAGAAAAAAAAAATCATATTCACAGTTATGTTCTCACATTCGTACATAACGGACCGGACATGCATGCAAAAAGAGAGAGAGAGAGAGAGAGAGAGAGAGAGAGAGGGTCGAAAGTGAACACAGTGTAGAAAGAGACAGCTTCTTGTCTGCCCGTGTTCTTAAGACTGCTCCTATAATCACATACAGGCTTGTGTGCTGCTGCAATAAATTTAAGGGACATACAGTGTATTCCACCAGGTTGATATGAGACGTGATCCTTGTACCCTTTTTTTTTTTTTTTTTGCCAGGTCAAATGCAAATACAGACGGGTAGAAGGCAGACTTTGAACCATGTAATTAGAGTTACATAAAGTGCTTCTGTCAAAAAGAAACAAACAATAAAAACAGTACAAAACAGTTTTTAAAAAAAGAGGTATCAAAACAATGCACTTGGAGGAGACTGGATGTCCGGCAGACGTCAGATAGGGTTCCTGCGGTACAGACAAAATGGGCTGGGGGTTTCCTTGGTAACCAAAAGAGTTGATGAGTTCAGAGATGAGAGGATGTAAAGGAGGAGAGGGGGGGAGTTGGCGGTGGATTTAACCCAGGATAAGGCTGGACTTGCCCCCGGGAGGATTCCTGCGGCCGGACGCACCTCCTGCAGCGGACTCCTCAGCTGGAGGGGCTTCTTCCTGCGGCGCCGGGGCCGCTTCGGGCTCAGCCGCCACACAGTTTTCTGAACACACGGGCAGAGAGACGGTTGCATTAGGAGCTATTAAAAAGGGATCAGTCGCCCCCACGGGACAACCTCTGCAGCGCCAATAGCCTGGGCTGTAGTCCTCCAAGCATGAGGCCCAGGTTGGATTGTTTGCATGCATTAAAGTCACATCTCAGGACGTGCAATGGGACCTGAAGCATGTCTCCTGCATGTTACACCGTGCATGCAGAGTGTGTGTGTCTCCTGCATGTTACACTGTGCATGCAGAGTGTGTGTGTCTCCTGCATGTTACACTGTGCATGCAGAGTGTGTGTGTCTCCTGCATGTTACACCGTGCAGAGTAAAGGAGCTGACCACTGTGCATGCAGAGTGTGTGTCTCCTGCATGTTACACTGTGCATGCAGAGTGTGTGTGTCTCCTGCATGTTACACTGTGCATGCAGAGTGTGTGTGTCTCCTGCATGTTACACTGTGCATGCAGAGTGTGTGTGTCTCCTGCATGTTACACTGTGCTTGCAGAGTGTGTGTGTCTCCTGCATGTTACACTGTGCATGCAGAGTGTGTGTGTCTCCTGCATGTTACACTGTGCATGCAGAGTGTGTGTGTCTCCTGCATGTTACACTGTGCATGCAGAGTGTGTGTGTCTCCTGCATGTTACACGGTGCATGCAGAGTGTGTGTGTCTCCTGCATGTTACACCGTGCATGCAGAGTGTGTGTGTCTCCTGCATGTTACACTGTGCATGCAGAGTGTGTGTGTCTCCTGCATGTGTGTGACGCTCGAGGCAGACCCTCAATGACAGATTTGAAATGAGTGTTTTCCCCACTATCAGCTACACCCCGGTAATCCTAAATGATGAGGCCACATATATGAACGGAGCTCATATGCTGCTCAATGTTTACTATCAGTCACTACACCTGCAGCTAACCCGGTGAAGTGTTGTGGAGGTCACCTGGTTGATGACCTTTGATTCACACAACTGCAGGCCACAAGTTTAACTGTGTCGCTCCTCCTTCTACTCCCTCTGTGTGTGTGTGTGTGTGTGTGTGTGTGTGTGTCAGAGCAGCTGTCAGACGCTGGACCCAGTGTGATGAAAGTATACCAGGGATGGGGTTTTAATGACTCAAAGACCTGAACAATAAAAAAGAATATTGTGTGTGTGCATAAGCCCACATGTACATTAGTGGTGATGTATCACAATGTGATGTGATGAGGAAATGTGTTCCTAGTAATACTGGATCAGTGGGTTTAGTGATTAGAGATTTTTTCCCCTTTGACTTCCTGGTTTGTGCTGATTCTCTTTAAAATGACTCATGAATTCCATCAACATGTATTCTGGTTACTTACTTATCGAAATAGATCAAATTTCCCACAGACAAGGATGATCGAAGCAGTTTTTCTTTCGGTCATGGAGTACAGTGATGTGGTCTATAGGGATGCCTCTACCAGGACACTGAAGCCATTAGATGCTGTTTATCATTCTGCACTTAACATTTATTACCGGTGATATCTAAAGCACTTACTGGAAAGCTACCATCATATATCGCCTCCTTGTTACATTTGAACCCTGGTCCATTTTTAACTCCTGGAATGTTTTACAATTTCACCTGAAAAATTGAGCTCTTTTATCCCTTTTGGACACTTTCAGAAATATTCTTCTTAACCGCCCAATGCCTGCCTGTTGCTGTTTTATTTGATTTGAATTGTTGACTAATCATTGCAGTAATTTCAAGCTTTTTAATTTATTTTATATATTTTATTGTTATTCTTATTGCTCTTATTCCCTGTGGTAGCTTTAACTCTTTTGTTTGTGTTGTCGTCTCAATGATCTCTCTGAGAACTTAAATAAAGGTTGATGATGATGATGATGATGATGACACAAAGAGAGGGCTGTCCAAATACCATAACAACAACTAAAAGAAACGTGTGCTTACCGTTACTGTGCGCATAATTTTCTCCATCCTGATAAAACAAGCAGAAAAGAAGCAGTCAGTATTTTACAAGCCTTCACATGTTCTTATTCCTGATGGTGAAAAAAACATCCATGTTTAAACTAAGTGATGAATTCTAAGCAGGTTCTACTTAAATGACGTCATTTTTTCTTGTTCTGTGTTCTTCGTAATTAATACGCAGTGTGAGTGAATGAGAAATGAAGGAAACAAGAAGTGAAATAAAAATGAATTCATGCTCATTATAGCTCTAGGAACGTCTTCTCTACAGTTTCACTTCATGTCTGTCCCATGATGTAAGGCGTCTTACTGTAGTGGCAGCGTCTGCAGAGTTGGTGGTTTGATTTCCTCCTCTTCTCAAAGGGGCCGATGGCTCACCACACAGCACACCTGTAGCACTGCCCCCTGCAAGAACCAGGAGACACAACAGCTCAGACTGACCGGCATACAAAACAAAGATGGTAAATGGACTTGAGAGGCTTGCCCAAAGGACACATCAGACATTGATGCTGTTCTGTTTTTTAAAATGTATTCTGTCAGATCACAACAACACCGTAGTTTCTATTTCAGGTCAGTTTGGTCGAGGTCAGAGATGTTTGAATGTACGACGACGACGACGACGACGACGACGACGACGACGACGACTGGCTGTTTCTGATTCTTAATGTTTCTGCTTGCTTTACTTTTTCTAATGTGATGTTGCTTCATTTTCCACATCTCAAAAACATCATTTACCAAAGTCATGAGTTTGACAAAGTTCATCTTTCAGGTACAACAGATACCCGAAGCTTAATCCGTGTTTTTCCATCCTATAGTAGGGTTTTTATTTCAATTACAAGAAGGTGGACACAGGGCCAAAGGTCCCTAAATCTTTCTAAAATAACTCCAGTTTCCTTTTATCATGTATCTTAAATCTTATCTTAATCTTAAATCTTAATCTTGTATGTCGGTTGATGAATCTTAAATTTTGCTTAAGAAACGAAAGTCTAGACGTTCTGGTGTTCAGACTCTCCTCTTTAGTTTCTGGGAAACTCCGTCTCTGTCAGAGAAATCATCAGTTTCATTTTGTTGAGGATTATATGATGAACTTTCACCCAGAGGCGTTGGATTACTCAGCATGCCAATAAAAGGTCAGTGTGTTCATTGAGCATTGATAATCACTGATTCAATTGCTGGATGCAGATGTTCTCCCTGATGTGTGTTTGTGGATGATCTTGTTTTTTGTGTAAACGGAGCTTGGAGTTTTTTTCTTCTAAATTGTGTTAATGAAGTCATAACTTAATGTCTCAACAGGCTGCTCTGTGTTAACCATCCTGCCTAATAATCCTCCATTCATCTTCACTTACAGATATTATGCAAACCCATAGAAAAATATTTTAAAAAATCACACTTTAGCCTCCTCGGCATAGTCAGGTGTTACTGTAGGTCAAACGGTTATCACAGGAAACAGTTTGTTGTAACGGGCAACCATCTCCATGCCCTCATTGAGAGAACTCAGGACCCTGAATACTGAAACTAAACTGGAGCATTGTGTTGGATTTTTGGGAAAGTACAACTTCACAGAGTGGAATGTGTAATCAGTCCTGACACTCGCCCTCTCCCACACTTTTCCTACATGCTTCCTGCTGTGCCTCACGGGAAAAATTAACAATTTTAACTATTTTTACAACAACAGTATTCACACTCACACAGAAGTAAGCAGCTATGTGCCGCTGGAAGAGAGTTTTCATTAGAACAGGATTTTGACTGTTTTCACGCCAAGCCACAATCATATCTCTTTGTTCTGATAGAAAGACAGGGGTCATTTCGGGGGAGGATTTTCTCATTAGATGACGTGAACTCAAAAGCTGGATTTCTTTTGTTTTAAAGGTTACATATCCTCCTCCTCTTCAACCAGTTTAATTTAGTCTCAGAGCTCTTTGGGCTTTGATCCTTCCCCTGGGAGGGGATGTGTCTCGGTGCTTTCTCGCTCCATGTCCTATTGTTTACAGTGAGAAGGTAGACTCAGAGGGCAGAACAAACATCTAGCTGTGGGAGTGTCACCCACCTGGGGGAGGGGCTACTGCCCTTTGTGATGTCATGAAGGGAAAATCTCCAAACGGCCTGTTTGAGCACACATTTTTCTGAAAAGTGGAGCAGGCAAAAGACGGAGAGGATGGACTTTTCTCATCATTGGGGGGTTTGTTGACAGACTAGAGACACATGTTAGTGTAGCCGATGAACCTTCTAATGCTCTATTTCAGATCGTCCAGGCTTATTGGACCTCTGCTTCATTTACACACGTCCCAACTCACACTCTTGGTAAATGAAGAGTCACTGTGGTGTCTCCAGTGTGCTCGGTCAATGTAGATATTTAAAACTTAGAAATTCATAGACAATATTTAACACGTTAACATTTTTTTTTTTTGCTTTAATTGTAGAGATAGGACAGTGGATAGAGTCAGAAATCAGGAAGAGAGAGAGAGAGAGAGAGAGAGAGAGAGAGAGAGAGAGAGAGAGAGAGAGAGAGAGTGGGGAATGACATGCAGGAGCCACAGGTTGGATTTGATCCTGGAGGAGTACACCTGCTTGGAGGAGTACCGCCTCTGTACATGGGGCTCGCACACTAACCACTAGGCTACCGACGCCCATCTCAATGCAGTTTTCTTCAATTATTATTTTTTTAAAATCTTGGATTTCACAACATAGGATATAAATCTAATCAGTAAGTTGCGATACATCCCTCTCATCAACTCTCCTCTCCTCTCCTCTCCTCTCCTCTCTCCTCCCCTCTCCTCTCCTCTCTCCTCTCCCCTCCTCTCCTCCCATCTCCTCTCCTCTCCTCTCCTCTCCTCTCTCTCCTCTCTCTCCTCTCCTCTCCTCTCCAACCCTGAGGTGAGAAATGAAGGTTTGGACAGCGGCTGTTGAAATATTGAGCAGATTCAAAATTTGACTTGGCTTATACCTTCTTAAATTGAAAAGGTGCTTATGGAATATTTATGGTTCAGCCACAAATAACGACTAGTCTGAATGTCAATGATAACATGATGAACCTTTAACTAATGTCAATGATATGGAGTGAGATCAGATGTTTCACGGGCTAGCTTAATACCCACCAGCTGCATGGCCAATGCTGCAACCAACAGTTTGGCATGCATGAGTCAGCGTTTCTTGGCAGCTGCACACATTCTCCCTGCAAGTTTTTCTTTCTTTTCTAAACCACAACTTTGTTGCGGAATTATCCATTTTCTATGTATGAAGAGTACACAGAAGAGTGGCACCTCAGCAGAGCCATAGCAGTCTGGTTGTTTGTGCTCATGCATGACTGAGCACAGCCCAGACGCCGACTGTTTGACTCAGTGACGATGAGGAAACAACATGTTGGAAAATAAGAGAAGTCGATTCTGTTCAAAGAAGAGAGCCATTCAGACTCTGTTTAATCAAGGTTTGAAATACTGTGAGGGTTTGAGGGGCATTCGTTTACACAAAGAGAGAAGTAAAAGGAGGAAGAGGGAAATGTTTGAGGAAGAACGTGTGAAACTGAAGAAATCATTTTAGCCTGTGAGCACAAACTATTTCTGAATATATCCTCTTTAGGTGCTTTTGTATTTGTTAAGATAAACATTTAGATCCCCCACTGTGGGAAATGTAGTTACAGCAGCTCCAGCAAGCTCACCAACAGCTTGTTGTTGAAAGACAGAAGAAGACTCTATGGTAAGTAAACGTAAAGGGTTTCCTGTTGAGACAGAAGACACATGTTCACACGGCAGAGAAACAAAAACGTTTTATGTGTTGAGAACAAGTGGCGACCTCCAGACTTGAAAAATGAAGCCAATGTGGAAGTGCAAAACCCTGAAGGTCATTGAGAGTCTACTAGAGGCTGGCTGCAGAAGCCTCTAAAAGTCCCCCTGGCAAATACCGGCGTTGCTAAAGTTCTTCTAGTGTCTCATAAAGATGCAAAAGTGACATTTAAGTCTCTTACAAAAAGAGAGCAGGGAAGGTGCTACAGAGGTGATATTGCTGATATTGCACAAATCCACTGATGTACTGACACCAATGTTTGTGAGCTGTTGCGTCAGTGTGCAATGTTTGATCATTAAGAACAAGACAGGTCCTGATTCTGGGTGTGTAGCCTTCTTTTATTTGTTTTTGTGTCATCAAAACAAGATAACGTCTGCTTCTTACTAGACTGGTGTCAATATTTACATCCTGGTATTGTGACAACCTTAGTGGTTACCCTGATTCATTAACGGCCTCTCAAAGGGTGCGACTCTTTGGGTAAGAGTTACACACGATAGATAGATTTTGTCTCGCTTTTACAAACATCCCTCGACTGACAACTTCCCTTTTCAGACGTGAACTCAACACTCTCCTTTGTTTAGGCTTTGAAGTTAGGTCCTCTGTTGTCTCACAGCGTGTCATACTAAAATATCAAAGCAGACGGTGTCACACCATCGTCTAATTTTGGATATGTCACCGACAGAAAAGAGGAGGGACTGATACGTTGAAGTCAAGCCCTCCTTTGATGAGAATCTGGGTAACAAAGCCTTCAACACACGTCTATTTGAAACCCTATACTGTGTATATATTGACAGTTCACACCTACACCTCATCCCGGGAGCTTGAGACGATTCTCAAAACAACACAAAGTCAAAATCATTTGATAACTTGAACCTTTCTTATCGTGACGGCAGGGACAAACGAAAAGAGGGGCAGCTAAGCAGACCCCCAGAACGTGTGGGCCAACATCAACGTCAAGTATTTCCCAAACAATTAGTAGAGATGCACGATCCACTATTTTTCAGATGCGATCCGATTGCGATACATACAGAATGTACCCATGTTGACGTTGTTTAATGCATAATTAATCATGTTGTTGATGTTGTTGGCTACACGAAGCTGTAGAAAACCCAGCAGAGCAAAAATACAGCAAAAAATGTGTTTGAACTTTGTCGTGGCTTCACATACAAACAGGAAGCAGCAACAACCTAAAGGTTTTCAAAATAAATCTTTTAAACTAGAGTGTCTCGTGTCCACCTATTGTTCTTCCAGGGCAGTAAAGGCGCTGGCTTTGCGCTCGCGTTTGTGCGCTGAGAAGAAAATCGCTGCACGTCCGTCCTGTCTCTATGACAACAGTCTGTTTATTACCCAATCAGACACGGAGCAAAAAAAGGATGTGGGTACAAGACACAATCTGCAGGCGGCAAAACTACGGGAAATATAGAGTTGTAAAAGAGCGGCAGTGACGTCAACAACGCCTTTCTGAAAAGATTAAAGGAATTTGCACAAAAAAGGCGGAACGCTGGGAAAAAGATGCTGAGCGCTGCGCTTTTTCTCCTGCTGCTGGGAACGCCCCCTCCTTATTAAACAACTGAAAAAAGACGCCGGCAATCAGAAAAAAAAAGATAGGCGGCAGAGCCAGCTCTATGTGATCCGAATTGAACTTCGGATCACATAGAGCTGTTCCATGTCGTCTGAACGTTGTCATGGAGACGATTCATGGACACTTTGCAGTTCAGTCTGACGGTCTTTAAAGAGTGCACAATGATCTTTCTTGAGCCTGATAATTTCCTCTCTGAATGATGCCTTTAAATTCTGTAATAAACTCAAAGACTGGAGGCGGCTCAGCTCGACATCAATACTTCAGCTGTGTGCATGTTTGAGAAGATCCTGATTGGTGGAGCCGCAGCCCTGATTGACTATGTAATAAAACGGCTTGGAGGGAAATCAATAGATCTTTGGGCATCTCAACTGAAGGTTAAGCAAATTTGATGCTTATGTATTCAGCTGTCAGAGGTCTGAAGTAGTGTTGGGAGCCACTTTGGTCCAGCGGTGGTGAACTGCTAGAACAGGATTTGTGTGAGGGTTTGAATTGATCAAATTTAAAAGGTTGGGGTTACAATATCCTTGTAGGCTAGGCAGAATGTACCTGGTGGGTTGTTCCTTCGATTAGCATAGAGGTCCTCCGGTTCAGCAAAAACACTGGAGGCCATCTTGTCTTTCTTGACAGGGGGCTTATCCTGATCTGCACCAAACGAAATGTTGGAGCCGCCACCAGGAGGGCGCAGAACTCTGGCAAAGTGAGAGATGGGAGAAAACATGTTATTCACAACACGATTGTAGCAGCTGAATTTTTCTGCAGCGTCCTGTCGTCGTTCTAAAATTAGAATCCATTCATCGGCAGCAGACGTCTCAACCTAACATTCAGACGACCTAACGACAGGCTGAGAGCTGGAGCAGAGGCGGGTTTTAAGCCTCCTGACAAACTGTTACATCACACCCACCTGTCAATCATGTCATCTATGTGCCTAACTATGAATAACACGTGTCACTCATAAAATCAAAACCGATGTGTTATAACCCCCCCTCCCCCCCGTCTGAGACATGAGCTAATCAGACCTGTTTCATTTTTCTACCAGGTTGTAAACAAGTTTATCTCTGTTGTTAAAAACCGGCTTTTTTGAATGGGTGTGTATGTGACCTCCGGGGCTCTTGGAGCCAGCCTCTAGTGGACGCTTGACGTACTGCAGGATTTTACACAACAGGTTGCTGCTGGGTTTGAATCCAGCCTCAGCCTTTTGCTGCATGCCCCCCCCCCGCTTTCTCCTCCCAATGTTTCCTGTCTCTCTTCAGCTGTCCTACCCAATAGATAAATAGATCGATAGATAGATGGATAGATAGATAGATAGATAGATGGATAGATAAATAGATGGATGGATAGATAGATAGATAGATAGATAGATAGATAGATAGATAGATGGATAGATAAATAGATGGATAGATAGATAGATAGATAGATAGATAGATAGATAGATAGATAGATACTTTATTGATCCTGAGGGAAAGTCAAAGCATCCAGTAGCAGGTTACAAAGACGTACATGAAACATTTGTTACAAATTAACCACAAAAACCGACGCCCCCCCCCCCACACACACACACACATATATATTAACCCGAAAATAGATTTAAAGAATAACCCTAGACCAGGGATGGGGCAACTTCGTTCACAGCAAGGGGCCACATTCATTTAATGCTCACTGCCAGAGGGCCAAATAGTAGTGTACAAAAAAACAATTACAGTCAATTATGTCTCAAATTAAACTCAACATAAACCAGTGATCAATTATTCTGGACATATTTCTGGTTTTCATGATTTCATGGCAGATTTTGTCATGTTTTCCTTCATGGTTCAAAATAATTGATGTGTGACCTGAAGGGCCACGTTGAGGGTTGATGGGGGCCGCATGTGGCCCCTGGCCCTAGACGAATCAAAACTTAAACTGTGCAATTTAAAAACAGACTTATACAAGAAAATGTACGTAACCCGTGCAGGGATAAAAAATACATGTGCAATTTAAACAAGAACTTATAAACAGTTGAGGGAAAAATCTGTAATTGAAGGCAAATATAAAACTTTGTATATTTTGGTTTAAGAGTGTTTAAATGTGATAAATGCACATGATGCAGATGTTGTCATATCAGTGACTGATGGTGTTTAATAATCATCATCTCAATATAACTGAGCAGCCAAAATGCACAGGTGGTCAAAACGTTGTGTTGCAGGGCAGGCTGATAAAAGATGGCTCATTGTAGCTCACTGATCATCATGAGGAGTGAGCTGTGTGGGCCCCACCCAGCTGGAAGGACAGACCTCACACACACACACATCCTTAATCGTGCAAGAAGCAGAAAATTAAAAAAAAAAGAGTAAATATAACCTCATGATGATGCAAACCTCATGCTCATGCTTTTTTTTTTTCATTTTTCATTTCATTTTAACATGAAGTGTGCAGCAGGCTGAGTCTGACTCTGCTAGCCTAGCTACAATAGGGAGGGTTGCATGTGTGCTCTCAGACTAGCTAGCATCGATGGGAATGATCCATCCAGACAAAACGGGGAAGGTGTGGTGCTGAGCTAATCTTTAGCATCTTCCTCCCAAACACATCCAGCATCTGTCCACCCCTGAAGCGGAGAGGAACACCAAAGCAGGGCTCATTTGTCCTCAATCTCTTTTTTTTTTGTTAGCTGTTGGTAAATGTTGTTAAGAGGATGCTAAAAGGTGATGAAGAGATTCTTTTGAACGACGCCTTTTTTTTTTTTCCTTTACCTCGAGCTGCTCTTTGAGCCGGGCTCCATCCCTTGATAATTGGTGGTCGTCGTCATTTCGATTGCCCAGTCGTACAGGATTTATAAAGAAGAGGAAGGAGGAGGAAGAAATACGCGATATTCACTTTGATAAACGGCACTTTCACCGACTCATCATTGTCTGTAGTAGCCGGTGGGGTTCCCAAAGACAAAAAAAATCAACCTGCCTCGCTCCTAGCGGCGCTCTCGAGTCTGTCTGGAGTGGAGCTGTTGTGAAGCTCGCCGGAATGAGGCGTCACTTCCTCGCGAATGTTTTCAAAATAAAACACGCCCGCTGCGTTACATTTAAATTTAGGCGATTTTATTTTCATTATCTCAAACTTTAAATCGAATCATCTTCATAGTTTAACACATGTTCGTGATTTTAAGTTAAAAATCAGTACGTTTTGATTCAGCAAAAAAGAAAAGAAAACGAAGTGTAAGTTGAAACTACAAACGTAGTATATCCGGTCGTAAAGGTGCTCTTTACAATCACACAGATGCTGGTGCAGTTAAAACTAGGGTGGTCACTACTTACTGTATCAGATTGTTTTTTTTTATACATTTACACAGGATACTAGTGAAAATAAATATTGATAGCTCTTTCGATACCATGGCAACGGAAAATAAAGTCCAAGGCACAGACATTTATTACACTTTTTCGAGTTTATTACAAAAATAAAGATTTAAGATTTACTTTATTGATCCCCGCAAGGAGAAATTTAAGTTTTTACACTCTGTAGTCATGCAACACACACATATGCTGAAGTATATACACACATGCACACAAACAGGATCCTATGAACATGCACTAAGGGAGAGATGTCAGAGTGATGGAGTGGCCCACAGTGGGCGCTCCTGAGCTGGTGGTGGGGAGGGGGTTTGGTACCTTGCTCAAGGGGACCTCGGTAGTGTTCAGAAGGTGATCTAGCACCTCTCCAGCTACCAGACCAACTTCCATACTTGGTCTGCACTGGGACTTGAACCGGCAACCCTCTGGTTCCCAACCCAAGTCCCTACAGACTGAGATACTGCCGCCCTAAATGCAGAAAATGCAGAAGGAAAACTCCTGCACACTGTGTAAGTTGCACAAATATGTTGGCCACAGTTGAGACTGTCTTTTGCACAAATATAAGACTAAAATCTTAATAAAAAAAAATAAAAAAAAGCTTGGGTACTTTGGATACTATCAATTATCATCAATTATCATTACAATGATAGAGATTGTGATGTTTTAAAACACGGGGTATGGAAACAGCATTTCTCTAGCGGGAATTTCAGAGAAAAGTCTGTCTGTAATTTGATCCTGTGACATAAATCAAGCCTATGATTTAATACATTTAAAACCTAGAAGCAACGTTTTCAAGTCCAAGCTGGAGGATTTCACATTGACAGCATACAATAAGTCGAATGAAACAATAATGATACCTGTTAAGGTACACCAAAATGGCCAATAGGCACCATACAGTGGGTCATTTTTTTGTCTTCAATGACCAGAAACATTTCAAGTAAGCTCCTGCACATGGACCTAATTGGACAAATACATCGGCAACATTTTGGGTACTAAATCATTGTAAATGTATTTGCGCAATGGAGACCATGTCGCCTCCTGTTGCTCTCTAAGAGACAGACATCATTTGCCTAAAGGGCATCTCTGTCTTTTGACAGATATCATATCGGGGCATCTTTGGGTTTTAGATATGACTGAAAATCTGTCTTTGCATCGTCTTAAAACATGTGATATCCTAAAGTATGCCTTTACTTTAAAGATCGGACGGTGGATAGAGGTGGAAATTGGGGAGAGAGAGAGCAGGAAATGACGTGGAAAGAAGCCACAGGTTGGATTCAAACCTCTGCCCTCTGCTCTGAGGACTACGAATCCTTTTATAGGACGACCACACTAAGCGCTAAGCTAGTGGCGCGCCAAGCCATTGAACCTTTCAACAACCTTGGCAGACCGTTGAGGAGATTTCTCAGGCTTACATTTCAACAACAAGTAAATAGCTGTCTGTAATTTGATCCTGGCATATAAATAAAGCCTGTGGTTACTATCTTGCACAGGTTGCAAGGCCAAGAAGAGCTTTCCTCGTGTATTAAGACAGATGTTTGTTTTCTAAATTTAAAAGAATACAAATATTATGAACCAATAATAATTCTGTTAAGGCAGCATGAGGCTAAATTAGTTATGTAGCTGACTGTGGGTTTAACAGGAAGATCTTCCAGAGGCCTTTTCCCCACCCACTGTGTGTTGATGATGGAAGAAGACCAATAAATCCAAACGATAAGAAACTGCAGTGTTATGTAGGCGCTCAACTTCCCGTGTTGACAAAAGGTCACTTCCCCTGAGTCAGAGGCAGTCAGTTGTTTCCTGATTAAAGACAGCTGAGCTCAAACAAGCGCTGTCAGGAGATTCATGAGATCAGTGCAACAAACACACGCACATCTTGACTTTATAGTCACATCTTATTAAAGGATGACAAATAAATTGTTAAATAAATTGAATTATTTTACGGCAGCTTGAAAAGAATCTTTGTCGTTTTTTCACTCACATCTGGTTAAAAGGTTTTGTGTTGCAAGCTCAAACACTTAAAGACAATAACATTAAAAAGAGTCAACAAATGTTTTTAGATATGGTTTTTTAGTGGCCAAAAGAGTTATTGCTCTATCCTGGAAAGATGTCTCGAGGCCAAGGGTAGGCAGGTGGATCTCTGAACTAACTACAACTCTGCCCTTAGAAACAAGTTACAATTACAATCAGGGGTTAACTGTCACTTTTCCAAAACATCTGGGGTCCTTTCATCCGTCATCGAGAGGACAGATCTGTCACAGAATGGAGACATATAAGTACTGGTAGTCCTTTGCTCAATTCTGTCACAGGTCTGACATCCTCAGCAGTTTTCATTTTAATTATAGGGTTTAGTTGAACTGTAGAAATTTCCCAAATTCTTTATTACAAAGTATTTTATTTTCTGTAATTAATCTTTTTGTTGTTTGTTATTTGTTCTTATTTCTGTCCTATGGTGAAGTTGTGACTTCATTTTTAGATATTATCTTGTGTATGTATGCTGAAAGGTAAAATAATAAAACACTTAAAGGTGCACTATGGAGATTTGGTAGAGAAATTTTAAAGTTGGAGAAGTGAAACAATTCTATACTTTATTTTATTATCTAAATACACAACATTTATTCAAAGGATCAAATGGGTCCTGTGAACGCTGTTTGGAGCTATAAAGCTACCAGGAGAGTTACGGTGTCACTGTAGCGGGCCCCCCCATCATACCTTCTCACGTATTATTTTATCTTCATAAAGTGTTACGGGGACCAAATTTTCCTCTAAGGACAGTTTGTGTATAGAGTTATTAACATATACCACAGAATCTGTACATTTGTCCAACTTAAACATTTCTCTAACAAAACTCCATAATGCACCTTTAAAGGAGACATATTGTGAAAAATCCACTTCTACAGTGTTTTTGAACATATATTTGGGTAACCTGAGTGTCTACAGACCCACAACATGTGAAATAAACCCATCCAGTCCTTTATTTGTGGTCTGCATAAGTCTTACAACACAGAGAAAAATACTGTTTCAAATGTGCTCTCCTTGTGATGTCACAGTGGGATTCTGGTAAAAAAAAAAAAAAAAATCCCCTCCCCTCCTCTGATATCTCCACCCATGGACTCCACCCAAGACTAGAACAAAACTTTTGCTCAGGTCCTCCATTTTTATTCTCGCTACAGAGGAGTGATGTCTACGAGGAAAACCCAGCGGGGGCTCATTACATTTAAAGAGACACACACACCAAAACGGAGCGTTCTGAGAGCTGGTTTATACAGGGTCACAAACCTCCTCTGGTGCTTGATTCATGTTATATTTTGACCAAAGCACAGCACAGATGTTTCATTTAGACCACAGGGGGGCTGTTTGAAAAGGTGGAGAAGGTGGATATGTCCTCTTTAAGATGTTTTTAATGTTAATATATGAATTCCCCTGTGATCAATTAAGAATATCTATCAACGTTTTACATACTAGACTTCATCATAGTTACTGATGTATACTCCTCAGAGTATCTGTAAGACAAAAACACGGGACGTGTTAAAAAAACTCAATTTATTCCAATATTACATTTTCATTACAACAGATGTGGATTTAAAATGCAGGTTTACTAGACAACAATAACAAAGCTCAGTCTAAATGAAAACCTTGTTGACAGAAGTATAAAAACAAACACAAGGACCCAGGAGTTTTCTCCAAAGCTTCCAGAAAAAGAAAAAGAAACTTTTCATTTCTTCTGCACATTAGAGTCACTGCACGGCTCAGACATGGTAACGTATAAATGACATTGTGATCGAATCCATCTACACCAAACTGTGTCGCTGCGTTTAAGCTTTCTGTCAAAGTAATCCGCTGGATGATATCAACACTGGTCATGAGCATTTGAAGAGTGGGCTTAACAAATGATCAGGGGAGGAAGAGGGGGGGGGAGGTAGGGGTGTCCATAAGAAAGAGTCTTTAAAGAGAAGAGCCCCCGGTTTGCTGTTGGAACACATCGATCGTATCTTCATCCTCCATTTCTAGCTGTAAGAGCAAACAAGTTCAAACGTTAGTTCAGAGTCTGATCGAGTTAGTTTGTTGGTATTCTCATAACTCATTAGAGCTGGATATTATCCCAACCTCACAATTCAATTTGATATTGATCAATATGCTTCGATATCAATTTAATAATACACACAGATGACAGGAATACCCAGATAACTCATCACATAACCTGATATTTGTTAAATAATTGTGTGGGCAGTTTGTATTGGAACAAACTGATTCAAAAATGTATTTTATTGTTTGCATTATTCTTTAATAAACAAAGAATAAAACATGAAAGTACAGTTTGATCTACAGTGCACATTTATGTCTGAGCTGAATTTGCAGCAGAATCGTAATAAACATAACAGTGCTGTGATGGCATGGACAAAAACTAGATGTAAAGTGTTCAATTGTGCCTGACCTGAATTCACAGCACCCCCAGTGGAGAGGGGCGACATTACAATGGAAAAAATATCTATCTCAGGGTTTCCCTGAATCGACATCGAATTGGAAAAATAACCAACCCTGTAACTAATTCCCATTATTTCAGAAGTTAGTTCAACAAAGAGCCGAGGCTTACCTCACCTGACTTTTTATAAAGCAAGACAATAAAGATTATATCAAGAAAAAAACAGACTGACTTCATGTGAC